TTTATCCTCCTCCATATCCATTGTGAATGTAATCATTCCATCAAGTTGGTTTATAAAATTGGGGAACTCAACCAAATTTTTATTCCCATGCGACCAAAGTGCAAAGTAATCGTCCAGATATCGCATAAGCACTTTTGATTGCAGCGGTGACTTCTCGAATTCCTTTTTCACTTTGTCCACGTATACATTTGCTAAAAGAGGGGATAGTGGAGATCCCATGGGTAGTCCAAATATTTGCTCATAGATATTGGCGTTGAATGTAAAATAGTTGGTCCTTACTGTAAGTTTGATCATTCTTTTTAACGACTCTTTCCCTATCCGCTCTGCTTCCAGAATATGAATTTTAGGCGTTATTCGTGAGTCTGTCTTTTACTTTCTTAAGCTTCAGACAAGTGAATGTCGCAAGTCTGTGTGTTGCTCCATACTTGTTGTTGATTCTTAATATCTGCGGGTTTCCTTGTGTATCTTCGCTATTCCATAGGTTGTTGATGGTCTTGCTTCCTTTTTTAATTAAAGATCTTATTAGCAATTTGTCGGTTTCTCCGCTGTACATTTCCTCTAAGATTTCCTTCATTATTCTGTTTATCTTCATTGGTGGATCCTTTCTTACTATTTGATAAGTTTTCCGGTCGCCTAGGCTATTTTCCATTTTCTCCTTGTACTGTTGTCTGTCCATTATCGCCGTCGCACCTCCCTTATCCACCTAAATAACTATTTGGCCTTCCACTTATAATTTTCGATCTTTGATCATCACTCCACTCCTTTTAATCGCCTCTTGATGGTAAGGAATTCTCGGAATTAATTCTATTTCCATCTTCCATTTTGTCTCTTCTGGGTTGTTTTCTTAGGTGTTAATAACTTCTACAATGATATATTCTAAGATCTTCTCCTCGTTACCAAGTAAAAAATTTAACCCCTTCTACAGGAGATGCACCGTTTTAGAATCAATAGGGATTGACGATAAGTTTACTGGCTTATCTTAATCGTCCTTGGGAGGAGTGGATGCCACTAATAACGGAACATCATACTTTGCTCTGGTTAGCTGAATCCTGCGCTATCTTATTATCCAATATCTAAGCAATTTATTGTCATGCCGCTTATCTATCAAATCACGGACTCTGTGACTTCAGGTCAGTAATACCCTGGAATTTTTTGAAATTTATTCGGAGTGAGAACCCTGCCTAGATCCTTCCTTAATCCAGACTTAATATCCATTAACTTAAATATCATACGCCTCTCAGTTTCGTAACTATCCTCTAATTTCTGGGTGGAGGCGTGATAAAGTATTTCCGTAACTGTGTCCGAATAACATTTCCTTATTAGGTTGCAGAACCCGGGAGCGACGCCATAATGTTTTCTTGAGGCAGAGTGTAGAACATAATGCAATGATTTGCATGGATACAGTGGCAGTAATAGATTGAAATAATTGAACCAGGCAGATAAGGGAAGAATCCTACGGAGAAAGAGGGGACTCCAATAGGACCAGAAAGGAGAGGATTGCGGATTATATCGCAGCCTTGGACTAACACTCCCGGAACAGGGGTAGGGATGTGGAAACCAGCAGAGAGCGCGACTAAGTTTCAAATAAGCTTAAATTAACGAGTTACTAATTTGTGATATTCAAGGGGTACATGAATAGCCCAGGAAAGAATGAGAGACATCATACCTATTTAGCAGGCAATTGGTCACATGATTGGCTTCACTTGTTTCTTTGACGAGTTGTAGTGTGGTGCTAAGAACGACAAGACTCACTGACTATGCCGATTACGATGCCGGCGAAACGTCTGGGAATGTTCCAAGTCCACGGTCCAACTCTGGAAATTATCGTGCATTCTATGGACTCCGGACAAGGTGCGTTCCTGTCAATATGAATAAGTTGCGAAAACAAAGTCAAACAACTTCTAGTTTATATGCTGATTCATAAAACCATTAATTGAAAGTTCATTGTTGGTTTGGCTCTAATGCTACGAAAAATTGACTTGGAGTAAGGACTTTAAAACTATATACAATTTATATTTATATTTTATTTTATATATTTTTACTAATACCAGCTCGAGCTACTCCTTCTAGTTCAGACTTGCCTAGAAAATATGTCACTTGATGCTCATCTTTCCGAGAGCCAGGAGGTCTGCTACATCATCGTTCCGCATTACTAAATAAATTCCATTACATTTTAAACGCCTATGCGCTTCCCTTCCCTCTACTCCGTATATTTATCACATTCTACTCCCTATTCTGCAGCCCACTCTTCGCACCGAGTTCCTTGACATTTGCATGAATGTGACAACTGTGCTCTGCTGTCGCGTAACTCCACTCCAAAAGGCTGCTGTCGTCCAACTCGTCTCCAATGGCTTAGCCGACTGGCAAGGGGCTCCGGTGACAGCTTCGGTTGGCGATGGAGGCAATGATGTTGCAATGCTCTTGCAAGCCAGTGTTGGAATCGGTTTACATGGCAATGAAGGTTCCCAAGCTGTCCGAGCTGCTGATTATGCTCTTCCCAAATTCAAGTGACTTTCTGCTGTGTTTTGAACTTTAGGAATTAGTAGTAAAGTTGGGTCTCTCTTACAGTGTCTCAATACCTAATGAATGAAGTATTTCCAACTGTGCACGAACTGGGTTACCATGATGTTATTAGACCTTTTAGATCCTTTAAAATGGTATGGAATGGTGGAATGGATTGGTGAATTAGCCTCACCGGTAAAAGAAGTAGGAGTGCCTTGCCCTTGGGGGTTTTGATTTGTGCATGCAGAGACAAGCATAAAGTAGTTCGGGCAACGTTAAATTATAAGAGGTAGATAGGATAATGGCCAGCCACTATTGTATTTGGTGAATGCTTTCCCTGTTTGATAAGGGTTTTAACGGCGGGAGAAAGGGAAGCTCAGCACTGGTGGATCGAAGTCGCAGGACTTTTTGGTTAAATCAACTGTTATGACTGCAAGGCACTTCTTACTTTTCCTGAGAGGCCAATTCATGAACCTCTTACTCCCAACTTTTTATTCTAATCCAAATTTTAATTTACTATTCAATGTCTACTATGTTGTACTTGCTTTACTCTAGAGCTGTTACACTGAGATTAAACGGAAAGACGTATTGGATCAACACAACAAAATAAACTTAGAGCACACACACAGGGGAATACAACTGACCAATATAAGGTTCTCAGTAATTAATTACCAAGAACCACTTGATCACTAGCGATAATGAGCCAAACCACGGTTCCACCTTATGTGACATTTTAGTCACCAATTCTACTCCTAATTAACTTGAATTCTTTTTAATTTCACTTATCCTTCAATTTCAAATTAAAATTTGTTTGAAAGGAATTTATAAATTTGCCTTATCTGAAACCGAAGGAAGGTTGCCTTGACGTTGTGACTGTTGAATTGTACGAAGCCATCATAGGGCCACCGTCCTGTGACCCCGACACATACGTGCAGGGCTTCAGTCTTTCACGCGACAAATGTCACCAGAGCTTCAAACATCTCTTTCAGAACGCTTCTCCAAGCCCTAAACCAAGTGTGCTGACCCGCTGTGATGCTGTCTTATTCACATTGCCTAACTTTTTCCACTTACTTAAGCTTCCTATAAGTTTGTTATTCATTTCCTACTTCCTCTACATGCTTGCAGACGACACATTAAGTGGGTATGTTTGAACTCTTTCTTTTCACAGAATTAGTGCATATAATTTTGCTTGTTTATACGTGTGATATATTTCA